GGGTCTTAGTTGGAGTTCCTCTTCTGTTACACAGCAGAAGTCTCCTGGGCCGAGTCTCGCTCTCAGAACATTCCAGTTTTCCCGTCAATGAAACGGGGGAACACCATCTCCAGGGATGAGAAGCCAGTGTAAAAGACAGTGCTTGGAAAGCTTTCAGCAGCCTGCAAGGTGTGCAAAAAGTGTACAATGGAACTGTTCAATGATTGGTCCACTGGAACTCACCATGCCACATCTGGAGAAATCTCAACAGTCTGTCGAGCTGAGGTCGGAGCTGTGATCCTGGGAGGCCCCAGTGGAGTAGCCCTATTTTACAGGAAGTAAAGAGGGAAATGTCACCCATTTCTCCACAAACGTGGGGTGGGGGGAGAGAGGAAGGAGAGGACAACTAAGTGGGTGAAGGGGGGTAATGTGACCCCCACCCAACAAGCCCCTCAGAACTTCAGCGAAGTCATCACACTCATGCTGCCTCTGGTCCAAAGGAGGTGGTGGGAGAGGTGTGGACCAGGTGTGGACCTGCACACCCCATGTTCATGGGTGTGGGAGACAGGAAGTGAAGGCACAGAGAGACCAGCGTGAAGGACAAAGTTCCAGGGACTCTCAGAACAGAGAAAGGCTTTGGACCCCCCTTGGCCATGGAATAGGAATCTGGGTTCAGTCTAACTGGATCGGGAAAGAATAGGGAGGCTCCACCTAACAAGAGGGCTGAGCCATTCTCAAGCTCATTATCATCATGAAGGTTTTCTGACTCTGCCCACAGTATGCAGAAAACTGGTGGCAGGTGATGAAAGCGGGGGCCCAGGCAGCTGGCACATTCTGAACCAGGGCTGCATTCCTGGGGAGCCACCAGCAGGCTTTTCCCCACCTCCCCGTGGAGATACAAGGCTACCTCTGTGTTCACTGTGCCCTGCCATCGAGGGTCCACAAGTTAGTTCCCTTTTGCCTTTTCATATTCTTGCCTGCCCCTTTTCAGTCCAATACCATTCTCTTCTTGGGTCCACACGTCCCTCGGTCTCCCATTTAGGCTGCTCACGATTCAGAGGCCACTCATCTGCACTGCGGTGAGCCCCCAGTTATAAATTACTTACCTACTGGCCATCATTTTAATGTAAATGGATTTTAAACAGCAGCAAAGGAATATATTTTCATTTGGAGTTAAAGCATCCATTTTTTATTTGAGTTTGAGTCTGATCTAGAGAGATGGCAGAAGAATGGCTCGGAGGCTAATATAGTTAATGATTATGATGGAGATCCCAGGAGCAGCCATATTTCACTCGTAGCCACCTCTATCCCGGCTTCGCTGCCTGCAGTACCCTTTTTTTTTTT